GGGGAGAGGAGTGGGGGGAGGGGGAGGGAAATGGGAGGCGAGGAGGAGGCGGAAACTTTTTTTTCAATAAAAAATTATATTAAAAAAAAAGAAAATCAGTTCAAAGCCACCAATTAATAGACAATAAACTATATTTGTAAAAATAATTTAGGGTAATAAAATGAAAATTTATTTCTCTTTTGGAAATCCAATGCATTTAAGCTTTAAACATCACCATTTTCACAAAAATTCTGAGTGCATTAAAAATGGCAATATAATTATTATAATTATGAATTTCATTCCAATACAAGCTATAAACAAGAAGTCAAGCAACTGGAATTTTTGTTTAAAATCAGGTATTTCTTGTACCTCGTGATAATAACTTGTAATTCCATGGAGGACCTTCTTTAAGTTACTAGCCTAAAATAGAACAAAAAGAAGAAATAAATGTTTTTTCCATGTTAATAATGAGGGACATACACAAAGGTGAGAGACAATCACTTTCCCAATAAAAATAAAACATTATCAAATTCCTTAACAAGGCAGAAAAATGTGTAAGAAACCTAGCAAGAAAATTAAAAATACTCATATGAAATGAAACTATCATAACTGATAAGACCTGAATTTATTATTATCAGATCTGAAAAGAAAAATAATTATCATCAACGGAGAATTAAGGATGCCTCCCTATGTAAGTTATGGGGAAATTAAGCACAAAATACACACTGCACTATCAACAAATGTGGAACGAAACATGTCTGGAGAATAAATGAGGATGCATATTGCTTTCAGGTGCCCTTGGAGCACTCACTAAGATATAAGACAGATAAGAAAACCAAGGCTGATATTTGCCCCAAGAACCCACACAAAGGTGGGAAGGGAGATCAAAGTCACAAACTTGTTCTCTGACCTCCATACACATGATGGAGCATGTGCACACTCCATACACACAACATATGCACAATGATAATAAAATATTCATAATGCATTGAATGTAAGGCAGTGTTTAACATTAGGGCAAACATGGGCCTAACATTTATTATTTAAATCTCTTCAAAAATAAAGAAGCAGGATAAAAAAGAACATGTGTAAACAGCAAAAGAAGTAAATGAGGAAATCAATGCAGTAAATAATTTTAAAATGTAAAACTGAAAAATAAGATAGATGTTACTAAGGACCCAGATTCAGTTCCCAGCATCCACATGACTGATTACAACTGGTTATAACTCCAGTTCCAAGGGGCCTGATGCTCTCTTATCACCTCTGCATACACAAAGCATGCACATGGTACCCATACCCATACATGCAGAATAAATAATTTTTAAATATATATAATTATTCATTAGCATAGTATTACAATACCAGTATTGTTAAAAACTTTATAACACAAATTAGACATCCTTTATGAAACAAACACAGGCCCCCAAGTCCCAAGAAATCCAAGAGAAGTAAAAGGGATTTAAAAATATAAAATCATTTGCAGATAAAGTTAAACACACACACACACACACACACACACACACACCAGCAATTCCACCAAGAAATTTACCCCCCAGTGAAATTAAGTCTAAGTAAAGATTCACTGCTATAACCTAAAATAGAAATAGTTCAACTATCCCACCAGGTGAATAGCTAAATAAAAATGGCATTATCAATGTAGTATACACAGATGAATCTCAAAATCATTATACTGAGTGAATGAAGTCTACAGACACACACACACAGTTCACAGTTTGGTGTATTTATACAGAATTCAAGAAACGAGAACTCAAGGGACTCAAAGCAGACAGACAGCCATCAGAAACCAGTCACTGGGTGAGGGTTAACTGAAAAGAGACCAGTGTTCTTGGATGGAAGAAAAGCTCTGTAACTATAAAATGGTATTTATTTATGAGTAAACTCAGATGTCCTAGTTTCTTTCTTATTGCAAAATGGCCAAAAGCAAGCTAGGGATAAAAGGATTTATTGAGTTTACAAATCCCGACCACAACCAATCACTGAAAGAAATCAGGGCAAGAACTCAAGCAGCAGGAGAGGCAGAAACCTTGGAGAACAGCTGTTTAATAACTAGCTTTCAGGTTCACATCCATTCAGTCTGCCTTCTTAAACTTCCCACGACCACCTGTCCAGGGGTGACACTGCCCACAGTGGGCTGGGTCCTCCCACATCAATCAACAATCAAGAAAACGACAACCAGACAGGCATACAGGCCAATCTGATGGAGGCATTTCCTTTTCAATTGAGGTTCTGTCTTTCAAGGTAACTAACTCTACTTTGGGTCAAGTTGATAAAAACAGACCAGTACAATGTATGTTAACTCAAACTGAAAAATGCACTAATGAATTAATTTTAAAAAATCAAATGAGGTCAGAACCGTTGTTAAGAGCTTTGCTTACACCATGTAGACCCACCCATCCATGTCTGCATACCTTTATTCTCCAGTTGTCACCAACATCATCTTTAATTCGGCTTAACCAAGATTCGTCAAACCAGGCTACGTCACTAAAACAAAAATATAAAAGCTAAACTTTAAAATGTTTTTGTAACATGAAAAACAAAACTGAGCCACAGTATGAAGTATTCATAGCTTAAAATCTATCCTTAGTGAGATAGCAGTAATTTAAATGGAGCCACTAAATTTTTCTTTCTCCATAACAACCTACCTAGCTCTAGCCTTCTTACAAGGAAATTCACTCTTTGGTAACCAATAACATTGAGCTAATAATCTTCCCACTAGTTAAACTTGATGTTCAACCTCAGACATTTTATACTTTTATGCTCTGGCACATCATATATATGATTTGATAGTTTTTGTTTTCTTTTATACACTTATCAGAACTTGATCTTGACACTAAAGAAACACCAAAAGGAGGAAATGAGCCAATGAAAAAAAAATACAATCCAATTATTTTCTAATGAAAACTAAGCAAAAACATTCCAATACGTTTAATTCCATCCAGGATGCATCCTCAAGAATTTTTAGCAGCTAACTTAAGGGAGTAATTATATTTCTACTTACTAATAAAAACTGTATTGTCTTCTATTGATGCCCCAAGACTATTGTTGAATAAGATTCTATCAGAAAGACTTGAGGTACTGGATTTCTACTATTACTGCTGAATAAAAACACTGGCCTTGGAGTCAGACTAAGCTAATACAAATCCCAGCCTTACAATTTATTGTTTCACTTCTGAAAGAAGCTCTCTACACCCTTGGTTTTCATGGATAAACTGGACATAAAAATAGTAAATACACAGCTTATAAAGAAAAAGGTTGAATGAGGGCTGGGAAGACAGCTCAGTGTATAAATGCACGGGCTTAAGTCAGAACTGCAGCACCCATGGGAAAGCTACATGCAGCAGCACATGTCTACAACCCCAGCGCTGGCTATGAAGAGGGGCTCACTGCCAACCAGGATAGCCAAAACGGTGAGTTCCAGTTCAGAGACTAACCTGTTTCAAAAATAAGGTTGAGAATGATAAAGGAAAATACTCAGCATCGACCTCTGAGTTCCATAAGCACACAACAGATAACTGCACAAGCACAGACACACACACACACACACACACACACACACACAAATAACCCACATAATGGGACCTATAATGATATACTTGGTAAATACTCAGATGTTGGCTATCATGGTTTATCATTTAACTGCATAATGAAAAATGATTAAAGCCTGAATATTTTAATTCTATACCACATTCCTCTTTGCAAAAGTCATCCAGTGAAAGACAATAAAAACACATATATTACATGGCTGGTCAACTGACAAAGTGGGGAAATGGATTCATTCTTGGTAGCAGTATATAGAACCACATTTTCCAAAAAGACGTATTTCAGTTTTAACTTTGTACCTATAAATATGACCTTATTTGGAAATAAAGTCTTCACAGTATCAATCAAAGTAGGAAGAGATCTTATTAACTTAGAATGGGTCCATAAGACTAGTGCCCTTAAAATGGAACAGATAGAATACGTTCCCTAAAAGCCAATACAAGTAGTACGGATAAGTCCTGGTGCAACTGACAGTGAACCCGCAGTCTGCCCCAACCCTACAACTGTCACCCACATTCAGAGGGACTATTGTTTGCACCTATGCTAGTTCCTTCCTTGTTTGGCTGGAGTTGGTGAGCTCCCATTAGCTCAGGTAAACTGTTTCAGTGGGTGTCCCCATCATGGTCTTGACCTCTTTGCTCATATTCTCACTCCTCCCACTCTTCAACTGGACTTAGGGAGCTCAGCCCAGCATTCCACTGCTGGTCTCTGTCTCTGTTTCCATCACTTGCTGGATGAAGGTTCTATGGTGACATTTAAGATACTCATCAGTCTGACTACAGGGCAAGTCAAAATCAGGCCCCCCTCTCCTCTATTGTTTAGGGTCTTAGCTGGGGTTGTTGTCTTCACATAGCACTGATAATTGAATGAATAGATATCTTTTATTCCGATCAGCCAAAAATTATTACAATGAAAGCAGCAAGACACACATTCCTTCGTCAAGGAATGATGGCATCCTCAAATCATGTTGGCTCTGGTTTTGGGGCTAAGTGGCCGGGAGCAAACGAGTGTCCTCCCTGCAACATTTTAAGAAAACTGGGAAATAAGGAGTATTTTTCAATGATTGAAGAAAATGTTAACATGCTTTAACTATAAAATCTGGATATTCAAATGAGATAATACCAAATTATTAAGATTTTAAAATAATTGTAAGCTGTTTTTCTAGGAATGGCATAAATATTTTTGTGGCTCCAACTATAGAGTTTTTCAAGTCAGTTTCATCTTGTAGATGGTGGGAAGAAGTCAATATAATAATCTCTGACTGGATAACAATAAAAGTCAAAACAGGAGTCTGGTCTCTTTTTAAATAGTTAAATTAAAAATTCTTAAATCTATTATTTCTTAATATTTCCCAACCATAGTCCAGGGATTAGGATTGCAGTCAACAGTATAAACTGTATCCTCAATAGTGCAATGGCCAATTCTGAACTCACAATTTTTAAATACTGTTTAGTGTACATTAACATACCCAAGGCCAGAATCTTAACTAGTCAAGCCTTGTCCATGCTTTGTAACTTCAAAGTCCATAAAATTAACATGATTATTGGTGGACTCATAATTACTATTATTTCAGTATTAGATTTTTATTATAGTTCGTTTTCCAAATCCAGAATCTCAAAGAAAGAATGTCCATGTAAAGAGCCCTCAAAAGAACAACCTACATTTGTAGAAAATGAATGCAAGTATATCAATCATTTAGCCTTTTCCCCTTGAGCGATATGATATGGGATGAATGTCCTTCTGTAGATATGCTGCTTTATTGGCTGATGAATAAAGCTGCTTTCGCCTAAGGTAGAGCAGAATAAATAAAGCCAGGCAGGAAATCCGAACAACAGAGATATAGAGAGAGAATAGGCAGAGTCGTGGAAACGCCATGTAGCTGCCGAAGGAGACAGATGCCCCAGAATCTTACCGGTAGGCCACAGCCTTGTGGTGATACACAGATTAGTAGAAATGGGTTAATTTAAGATGAAAGAGATAGTTAATAAGAAGCCTCAGCTAATAGGCCAAGCAATGTTTCTGTGTGATTATGTGGCATACAACGATATACTAATCTTTATCGATCATTTGGTTAAAATGAATCTTAATAAACAAGCAAGAAATCATGAGGTGGTAAAATGGTCTTGTTCCCTAGTTGTGAGAATGCCCTGGTGCCCTACATCTGACTATGTCTATTGGGTAGGATGAACTCTCAGTCACCTTTATAGAAGTGTTCTAGCTGCTGCTGGACGTCCATTCCTATGAGGTCTTTGGTCACTACTCACATTTGATGAAGAACTTGTGCCATGGTCACTCCATTAGTCAGCTGTTTGACATCCTGACAGGGTGAGGCAGTCTTGAATGTCTGCAGCTAAAATGACACAAAACAAATCACCATACTGTTGGGCTATCCCTACAATACAAAATAAAGAAATAGCAACTATACAGATGCAAGACTGTGTTTCTATAGCTGTGTAAAATTTTTATAACAAACACATTTGTACGTAAAATCAAGCCTAATAGAACATGGTGCTATGTATGAAATTATTCAGCACTTCTGAATAATACAAACTCTCAGATGAATCTACTATAAGGAGAACATTAAGATAACTGAACAAGTACTAGTTAAAATGTCATTGAAGTTACTTGATAGGAAAATAAAAGCTAAAACTGTTAGATCTAAAACTACTTAATATCAAATAAATGAGCTCTGAAAGAAACCAGGACTGTCCAACAATTAGCCACAGACAGGCAGCTGAGCTGTTCCAATCTAGAATGCTTCAGCTGTTACTAACATTTAATCTTGATTTTGAAAATGTTTACGAGGCTGACAAGATGCACTTCCAGAACTCACGTGGTAGAGAGAACCAGCTCCTGCAAGCTGTTCTCTCACCTCCACACTCCAGCCGTACAGACAATTACACAAACACACTAAAGAAACATGTACGTTAATGTAATTTTTAATGCTTCATGTGTACTTTAAGAATACTGGCATCCTTTTCAAAGCAGCAAATACAAAATAGGAAAAATTTTATAAAGCAATGTAACAGTTAAAACGGATCATAGAAATGTATAGAAATCGAATCTCTACCCATACTTAAAGGTATTATGATTTCCTTTCCTGTACATTACTCATTCCCTTCACTATTCACTTACTAGCCTCAGGATCACCAATTAACTATCAAAGCCCGCAGAATTCCATTCCAGCATAACTCACTACAGGTTTGTGCATTTTGAGATTTAACAAAGGAGAGATGTAATGGGAAAACTAAAGCCAGCTATGACTGCTCTGAAACCCCATGGAGATGCCTTCTTGAGCTTCTACTCAATGTGGTGCACTGTGGTACGAGATGAGATTACAAGGGAAAAATTGCTGCATTCTCCCTCAAAACAGCTATCACTAAGAATTATAAGAAAGTGAAAGGCACATGTCATGTTGAGACACGATTAGCTCATAATTACAGTATACATGAATTATTTTTGAAAGGAGAAAAAAGAGATAATTCATTTAAAATTTGTATTTAGAAACACCTTGTAAAAAGATCCTGGATGAGAAGGCTTGAGGATGGAAGCTTTAGAAAATGAGTGTTTTTATCATACAAATACAAGTGAAAACTGCCATTTCTTAAGGAGCATGCATTCTAGTATCATTTAAGGAGGATGGGCAAAGAATGTCAACCAAGAGGAGTGAAGAGACAGGCAGGAGTCAGGATGACATTTTAGCCTTAGAACAACCACCTATGTAATGGGAAACAACTGGAAAGTTTCCACCACAGAAGACGGCTGAGAAAATTGAGTGAAGGAGGGAACATAATTACATCAGCATCTGCACAAGGTTCTGTGCTCAGTGGTTACAAACACAATCTGGACAAGTTAAGTTTTCCTGAACAGGGATAATACATGTTCAAACCTCCAGACACATGAAGTCACAAAGTCCACAGCAGTTCTACGTGTTGGCTTTAGAGAAATAAGGAATCACAAAGAAGTGGTTAGACAGAGATGCAGTAGATACAGAATATCTATGTGCTTGTGAGAAGGAGATGAGTTCATAAAATGGGCAGCAGCAAGACACATATAAGGTGAATTCAGAATACAGGAGGAATGGATTGTATGACACGTGCAACAAGAAGTTTGCAACTGAGTGGATATGCAGAGAAGAGAATCGCAGTATCTTTAAAAGGAAAACATTGGCCAACACTTTGTATTTACATGCTAACTTTTCATATTAACTTAAAGATATATCATCAATATTTTTCAAATTGGATATGGTGAGAGGCTTTAAAACATCAATTTCAGAATATCAGGCAGAACAATCCTGAGAGGAGTCAGTGAGATGGCTCAGCAGTAAAAATCACTTGCTACCAACCTTGACATGAGTTCAATCCTGGAGCTCACGTGGAGAAGAAGCTCCCCCAAGTTGCCCTATAACTGAACATAACTTTAGACATTTGAAAAAGCAATGTGGACATACATATAAGGTATATCTCGGTCATGGAGTTGCCTCCTTGCACTATGTTTAAATCAATATCAACTTCTCCCAACTGCAAATGAAAGTGGGTAACAACGTAATTTCTCTTGGGTAAACTGAAAGGCTTTATAGTCTAGAACAACAAATTTGTTTTAAATGAGACTGGCAAGATGGCTCAGTGTTAGGAGCCTTGGCCGCTCTTCTATAAGAATAGGGTTCAATTCCCATCACTCAAATGTCAGCTCACAACCATCTTTTTAACTCATCTGAGAGGATACAACGCTCATTTCTGCCCCCTTGGGCACTAGGCAAGCATGTAGTGTACACACATATGCACACATGTGTGCACATAGACACAGAAATACTCATACACATAAAATAAAAATAAAAAAATTTCAAAATATAATTTGATCAGTAATTTTCTAAGATTGCACATATATTTGTTTTTACTCTTTCTTTTACCTCTTAAAATTATAGCAAAATTTTAAAAAAGGAATTATTAAAATAATCTGGCCCAATAATTCTCTTAGATACTCGTGAAAGATACTTGAATTAAAAAGTAATAAAAGGTAAAAACAACCTCACAACACTACAAACCAGAATGAAACCTGAAAACATTTCTTCAAACTTTACATTCATTCCCTGTTATGTAAATTATTCTATTTTTCCCTTTGACTTTGTATTTTCTAAGTAGCAGTACATTTTGAGAACTACTTAAAAGAAACATTCAAATCATAAAACCTACACTTAAAGAGTTACCAAAAGAGACAACCCACACCTAGCCAGCTTCTCTTGACGATTCTTCTGCTTCAGGTAGGGCCTAGTCCTGCTGTAAAATGTCACGCTCCTTCCAGCCAGCTGCTCACCTGCACGCCTTGGCCCCACTGCAACCTGCTTTTCCTTCAATCTTATCAACCGTGTTAGTTCTTCTCAAACACAAAATTACTTGCACATCTGGGAACACCTTCCTGGCTAAAGACAATCTGACAAATGTGTGTTTTCTACTACTTACTTCCCCTCAGGCTACAGACAAAAGAGTTCATGTGTATTAGTAACATCTAATGACTCTTCTCTGATTTGGGGGCTCATTCCCTATGATTTCTTCTTCTTTAAACCACGATGCAACTAAAAATCCAGGACAAGAAATCTATACCAGGTAATAGTGGAATACCATTCCTAAAGGGCAGAGCCAAGACAACTCTATTTTAATTCAATATACTGAGAGCTTAGTGAGTATTCTTTCTTTTAGGGTCACAGCCAAAGCAGATCAGGCAAGAGTTCTGTTGCCCAGCAGTCAACTACTAGATAACTTCAGAAAGACTTGTCAGCCATAGTGAGTTCAAGGCTCACCTGGGCATCTTAGACTACGTCTTAAGTAAAAAGGAGGTTGAGGATTCGGCTACGTTGGTAGAGCACTTGCAGAGACCCCTCATTCAACTGGGGGATGGGCAGCAGAAGCAGCAAGGAAAATAAATGATAAAACAAGATCTAGAAGAGTTAGAAGGTTGTAAAGTTAGATCCAAAGATAAGGAGAGGTAATCTTTCGGCTAAAAGCCAAGATTCAGTTCAAAGTAGAGTCAAGTAGTATCTGCATGGAGCTTCCTAAGAAGAAGTAGCACTACCTGGTTGTTGTTACAGTGTTGAGAAGAAGTGTACATCTGGCCATAATAGAGTGACCACAAGACAGTGACAATTTGTCAATCATTCTATTTCCTGCAGTACACAGCAGCCTGGGAGAGCACTGCCCAAGCCAATTGGCGACTGGCAACCAAGCGCCCTGTCTGTGATTCCTTATTTGGCTCATAGTTTTTCAGATCTTGGGGAATTTTGCCTTCTGGTTCCAAAGAGACTAGCACAAAGTACGAAGTTAATAAATACCGCTTTAAGAAGGGATATGGTCGTAACATTTTAAAATATCGCAGTAGAGTTTTAAGAAAATCTTGTACTTCACCGCAGGACAGGGAAGTCAGTGACATCATAAAGAACCACTTCAGTCACGACCAGAGCACAAAATTGGAGACCTGGACACACCCTATGATTAGCCATTTGTTTTTAAACAAAGCAGATCATTAAAATAACACTGCCTTCTTCCCCCGCAATCTTAAACAGATTATCTAAACCTAAATACTAATTTAAATGACTACACAGATTGACAAGATCTAAGTGCTTTAAATCCTGAAATCCCAGCTACTGGCGTTCTACATAAAACTTGTCATTGAAGTCCAAAGTGCAAAAGTTACTTTATATTTCATACGCTCAGAGCTCTTTCCCATTTTTCCCTTGGATTTGCTCACGTTAGGAGACAACCAGCCAATCTCCTGGAGAATGTAATCCTCCTGATCCAGTCTACTTACATTCCAATCAGACAGACTGCCCTCCACCAAGTCTACACAACTGGGGTGAGCTTTGAGTCACCAACAGTAGTTTGTGGGACGTCAAGGATTATCCTAACACAACAAAGGGCTAGGAATCACACCTGGAAGCCAGTTCTGTCATATCTAGGCAATTCCAACAGGTTAGAAACCATTTTGCTCACTGGACATCCGAGGACAGAGCTAGTCGTCCATCGAGTCTGCACCAATGAATCCTGCATATGCATCAAGCGCAAACAAACAAACAAACAAACAAAAGCCAAATCTTTTTTACTTTAAAAAAGAAAAGGTATTAAGAAGGAAAGGGGAGGCACGGAAAAAAAAAAGAAGAAAAGAGCTCCCGCATCTCTCTGCAGCCGTGTCTACACCGTTCGTGCTGTGTGGGCCCAAAGGGACAGCAAGCTGGAAACCGAGGTGGCCCGGTCTCCGAGCCACCTGTGCGCCATGGGGCGCTGTGGCTGGGTGGAGAGCCCGGTCTCGGACAGGCTGCGGAACAGGTGGACGTGGCAGTCGCAGGGGCCTCGCCGGCGAGCACGGATCACACTCACCCAGATGATGAGGCTGTCACACAGCGGCAGCTCCGGCTGTGGCAGCGACTGCGGGTCCTCCATGGTCCGAGGACCTCGACGCCGCGCTCCCAGCGCCAGCGACGGACGCGCCTCCCAGCCGGGGCCCGCGTCAACGACCTGCGCGCCCGCCACCGGAGCTCGGCCGCCAGGCCCGGCGCCCGCGCCGCTCACGCGCGCGAAGCCTCACGCCGCCGACGTCGCGGCGCGACCGCCCCCTCGCCCACCGCGGCCGTCCCGCGCCACGGCACCTGAGCCGGCCCCGCCCGCCGATCGCTCACCGCGCGCTGAGTGACCTCCGCGAGCACCAGTCACAAAGAAGCTGGGCGCCCGCGAGGCCGGCGGGGCGGGAGGAGCGGGAAGAGGTCGCGCAGGAGGGCTGCCGATTGGACGCGCTCCAACGGACTCTTGGCCAATCAAGGAGGGGCGAGCCCGGGCGGCAGAGAGGAGCGGGAGTGGGTGGGCGGAGGTTTGTGACCTGGCAGGTGCGGTGAGGGCGGGGCTGGGGGGGGGGGAGAAGGAGAGCGCGCCTGCGCGGGCTGGGGTGGCCAAAGGGTGACAGGAGTGGGTGGCTCAAGGTGCCACCCTCCCTCTCTCCTGGTGAGCACCTGTGCAGGTGCATGCTCAGCTTCTCCAGCGTCCTCACCGATCCCACGAGAGTACTGGCGGATTGAGACACCCCCCCCCCAGACGAAGGAGGAACCGCTGCCAAGCCTCCTGGGCATTCATTGGAAAGAAATATGTTTTTAATTTGAAGACATGACCAAGAAATGTGTTTCCCAAGGAACATGGACCTTCCAGACTGCCTAAGTCAAAGAAGCGCTCACGGAATCACAGGTTGTGACTGATTTCATTGTAAATGGGGCTAAGTCATTTTCAGAGAGCAAAACGAAATAGCGTTCCAAAGGGTCTGTGTACCCTACTCCCTCTTTTTGGTGTGAAAACTCTGTGTTCACTGAGAATGGTGATGGCATGCCATCAAGATAACCTGTGTCGTTAATGGATGGAACCAGAATATTGCTCTTGGTTCCCACCTCTTCACTCATTCATGAATCCATCAACCCATACGCTATCAAGCAGTTGGTTCATTTAAATCGCTGTGATTTTTAAATTTACACATTGAGCAAGACTCTGGGATCATAAGCCCACAATATAAATCAGTCTCCCGTTTAAAAATAGAATGAGGGTATTTTCTGACTCCTTTGACGCTATCTCGGAACTTTCGTTCAGTGTCTTGAGTTGCTTGGTATTCTGGGCACTGTAAAAGGCAATGTAATTACATGAAAACTATAGACTGTAAGAATTAAAAAGGCCTTATGGTGAGTCTCCCTTCAACTCCCGTACCCATTCTTACTCTCAGCTTTATTTTATGGTAGAGACATCAGCCTCCATGCCTCTAACGATCACTCTACTTAAAACATCGTGAAGATAATGTAAATTGCAAACTATGAACTGTGCAATATGATTTACTATAATGACACATAAAAACGTCTGAGGACACGTCTCTGAGATCCAAGAGTGAGTGAGCTATTAAAATACTGAGAGTCATCAGGGAGGGTGCTATGCAACTGGACTCTAGATGAATAGAAAAGAAGTTCTCAGGGAAGAATGACCACTTAAATTCACTGTGAGGGATGACTGGCGAATTAAGGAAAAAATATTTCAAACTTGAAAAGTTAGAAAAACACAATACTGAAATACAACAATAAAAGGCTAATTTTGACAAGTGTGAAATGAGTATACATCTAAAAATTTAGGGAAATTTTGATATATGTATTATTAAAAAAGATTAAAGATGTATTTGTATTTTTATTCCTGTGTATCTGCAGCATGTGTGGAGGTTCCCTTGAAGGCCAGACGAGGGCATCAAATCTCCTGGAGCTGGAATTACAGGCAGTTTTGAGTGGTCTACTGTAGGTGCTAGGAACAGAACTCTGGTCCTCTGCAAGAACAGCAAGTACCCTTAACTCTGAGTCATCTCTCCAACCCAGGGAACTTTAAAAATACCTATATCTCCTAAACCCATTTGTGAAATCACAAATTCAATTACAGTCTGAACAGACATGTATTGTAAATCAATTACAAGTATTGACTAAGCAATTATTAGTCAATTATAATATAACATTATAACAATCAAGTACAACATTGGTTAATGACAAGTACTAACTACTAGTCCAATAAATAAGAACATTATAGAAGAGTCATATCTAGTAAAAATTAGACTGGAAAATATTTTATAATAGAGAAAAGTTTTTATAATGAATAATTTATTATAATCAATTTACATTAAATATGGTTTTATTTATAAAATAGTCGATCATAAGACATATATGTATTTTAATATTTACATAGCAAACTGTTATGTTTATATATGAAATAATTATATTCTGTGTGTTTTTATCTTTTTTATAGTTAGTTTATACTAATTTCTAATGGTAGAATGATAGAAGAGATACCTAATACAGCAAGAACTATTTGAGTTATCAATTTGGCATTAATTTTTCTTTAGTGTCCAAGTTTGTACAGTTGAATAAAACTAATTTTAAAACACTGAAAAAGGTTTTAAAAGTACAAATTGGTACAACCTTTTGAAAAAGAGTTAAAATTCAAAAGATTATAAAATTGTCAAAGCTATACCTTCAATTTCAGAATCTCCTCTTACTAATCAGGTGTCAGTGGTGTTTATCAACATCCTAGAAGGGCAAGGAAAAGACCTAAAAGGGAAATCACAAGAGGCGTGGTTAACATCATGTATCTTTCTATTAAAGGATGGAGAGATGGAATCATGAGGGATCTAGTTGGTTGAGTTGGGAGCGGCTTTTGTAGCTACGTTTGAGATTTTTATGTCATCTACACAGCTGCCTTTTAAGCATTTTAACTTAGTGCTTACCATTGATACTGGTCTCCAGTTCCTTGGACTGGCCAAAGAGAGTTCTAAGATTTCCATGCAAATTTCTTTTTTTTTAATTTATTTATTTATTAAAGATTTCTGCCTCCTCCCCGCCACCACCTCCTATTTCCCTCCCCCTCCCCGAATCAAGTCCCCCTCCCTCATCAGCTCAAAGAGCAATCAGGGTTCCCTGACCTGTGGGAAGTCCGAGGACCACCCACCTCCATCCAGGTCTAGTAAGGTGAGCATCCAAACTGCCTAGGCTCCCACAAAGCCAGTATGTGCAGTAGGATCAAAAACCCATTGCCATTGTTCTTGAGTTCTCAGTAGTCCTCATTGTCCACTATGTTCAGCAAGAAAAATCCATGCAAATTTCAAAGCAACTGCGAATTCAAAACTCTGCCATTGGGGGATGAACACGAGATCTAAAACTAACATATATGGAAAAGATTAACTCCCAGGACATTTGTTATAGCAATATTTTCTGGAAAACAGACTCTGAGATTAGCATGCATATCTATTAAAAATTTTTGACTAATAGTCCTGAGAAAGGAATCCTGGAGAATTGGGCAGAGGATGAAACAGGCTGTGGTACAGTCCCAGTGAAGGCTACTTCTGTCTGATCCAGCCTTTGCTGGACTTGCCCTTCTAAAGTTGTCCTGAGTTCAAATGAAGATGGAGCAGTTGGTGGGTGGGCTGTTCTGGAGAGGTGGCCTCCCAGGCTAGATGACTGGAAAGAACGCTGCCGCTGTTAGCTTGCTCCTGGTGGCACTTCCAGGTGAGGAGATAGCCAGGACTTCCCAGTGTTCTCAGCACCTTCACAGCCATTGTGGGTTAGGATAGGAGTGCCCCTCACTCGCAAGGGTTTCAGGGAAGCGAGGGGCACAGGACCGCAAGTGTGCCAGTAAGTTGTCACAAATACAAAGTTAAAGTAGTCACAGAAGAAGAGCACTGACATCCTCAGTTCTTAGATGGAGATGATTGCAAAGCTGGCCGTGATCGTAGCCATAGTTACGGTCGCACATAGAGGCTTTACGTAAACTATGTACATAAATGCTATCTTGGAGAATTTAAGACTGAACTACTTATGCAATAAAATTAACTAAAAGGTAAATTATCAAACATAGTAATCTTTCCAACCATGTTTTAAATTTACAAGGGAAAAGACTGATACTTATTGAAATTAAATTATATTAAATTAAATTATATTAAAGCAAATATAACCATTTCATCTACTAAAATTTTTAATTATAGTATAAGTGAATAACAAATAGAACTTGTCTCACTTTTTTCAAGTGAGAAAAAAATACATGTATGGAACTTTTCAAATATTTGAAAATAGCAGGTAAAAATAAGCATTTGGTAAAATGTACTAAAAATGTAACCCAGCTAGAATTTCTTTTAACTATTCAAATGTTGTATTTCATGTCTATATTTACCTGATTTATAAAATGTGTCACCATTTTATACTTGATTGGGAGAAATGGTTCATGCTTCTTATTGGTGACCTATTTTTATGCACAAAATTCCTTTTTCTAATCCTGGTAAGCAGGTTTTCAAAATAACTACCAAACAGTGGCACATACTGGATAATCATTTAATCCACAGATGCTTGTCTATAAAAAGCAAGAATGATCTAGCTTTATATGTAGTGCGACTAATCAAGCTGCTGCCTATTGTTTCCAAGGCTGCTAAAGTTAATACTTAAAAATATATCATTTAAAAATAAATGCAACATGGGTAAAGACATGTTCACGAGGCATTTTAGACAGGCTTAATAAAAACCAAATTTTAAAAATAACTGCCTTTGTAATGTTAGACATATTGGTTATATTTTATTATATAAGAGAAAATTATGTTTGCCATGGTTGTGACTAAAATTTGATATACCGAATTCACCATGTGTATGAACTGAAAATACATTAAAATGAACTACCTACAGAGAGATATCTTGTTCATTCTCCATTATATATAATAAAATGCGTCTTAAAATACCAAAATGCTAGAAAGAAGGAGTTCAGGAATCCATTAAGGACACCGAGGAAGCTTATTTCCTTGTACACAGTAATGAGTTGGGCTGTAAAAATAAAGGGGGCAGAACTGCCCATGAGGATATGACCAGTGCTCTCCTGTATACTTCGCAGAACATACCCTGTTATGTCTAATGAAAATCTGATAGTATTTAACTGAATTTTAAAAAAGTCTCTTAATGTGAAATGGAAATACGTTCCAGCTCTTCTGAAACAAAACAAAAAAAAAAGAAAGAAAGACAGAAAAATGGAGAAAACTCAGAACAAGACTAAGTCCATATAGAAAAGAAAGAAACTGAGTTTTATTATGTGACATAAATTTACATGGTCCTGACCTATACATAACAATAATACGAAAATGTATAGAGAATGAAGTGATGTGC